GAAATGATTGTCATTTTAATGGTCCAATAAATGTCTTACAAGTGGTAATACGCCAGCACTGCCGCAATGAGTCCTATGAGACACCACTCGTATATCTGGGATATCTCTCCCAACACTGACCCCAACAATAAAGTCATATTTTACTGGATTATTATGAAATAACAATTTTATTAATATTTTTTAATTTAAAGTATTTGTTACTCATGTATTGAATTTATGAAACTGTTTGCTATAACAGTCTCTTTTTATATACTCTGAAATTCAGAGTCTGAATACATGTTTAATTATATTGAGTACCGAGTTGAACTCAATTATCATTATTTATCAGTTTGTGATTACGATTTTATTAAACATTAAATACTATTCATTTATAATTTATAAATTTAATAATTTGTTAATTTTTAATGTTTTAAATATTAAATGATTTTATTTCACTAGACTTACTTGTTTATTATTTGTTATTAAAACTTTTGAATCCATTTTATACCGTATTGAATCTATTTGTTAAATATATTACTTGCATATACAGTTTATACAATTAGAAATTACAATATATAACTTATAAAATAATTTGAAGCAAATAATTTCCACAAAGATTATATTATCACAATTTTATCAACAAACAAGTTTTATATTTTGATAATTATTTGTACCCCGAGTACACCTAAGTACAAATACCTAATGCAAAAATATTATAAGTATTATTTTCATTCAATTCATTCATTTTACACATTTTAGTATGCAGTATAATAGTAAACATGATAAAACTATCGTTATTTTAAAGTTATTAACTTAAAGTCTAATAAAAATATTAACGAGTTATTCAATTATTTAACATATTAATTGACAATTAAAATGTTGTACAATATATTTATAAGCAATAATTATTTTCATTTTAAAATATAAGTTAATTGTATCATCCTAACAAATTAAATTAATAACGTTAAACATTCGGGAAGATTATGAAATAGAAATTAAATACGTTAAACTTTATTTATATTTATGTGATACATATAATCCTAATAACTAAATACATATATTTTTATAGCTTTATAAATTATAATGTGTTCACTTAATTATTGTTTATAGTTAATAACTCTGTAACATAAATTATTACTACGGTAATTGCTTAATTGAATCAAATACTTACAATCCATAGTGAAGTTTAAATATTTTATTAATTATCAAGTTTTTACAAAATAATATTATTGTTATTTAAAGCTAAAAAATTATATTAATTGCTAATAAAATAGTAGCTTTAATTTGCTTAAGATAATAAAAATTTATTTCAGTTAATAGCTTATTTATATATTCATATTTACACCACAAATAGTCTATAGCTTCTGAATACCCACCACAAGCCGTTTGGGCTGTAATGAGCCTAAAAGGTTAGAAGTGTAGGTGACGGGGACGTCAGTGTTGGCCACTCTGGAGACCCGAAACTGCTGTGACATCTTAGCTAAGGCTAGCTTTACCTCTAATAACGCGAATCGCATTGCAATACAATTTCGTGGACCCGAACCAAACGGTAGGTAAGTATAGGGTTGGATGTGATCTCTGTTTTGGGGTAAAAACCTATCAGGGTTGAATGTGAATGGATCCGGATAGTGGTCGGAGTCGTGGTGTATGGCATAGACAGGAATTTCAGCGATCACTCCCTTCTCGATCTTCACTCCAGTGTTGCCTAACATTATGTCTTCCATGGCTTCCCTCTCGAGTCGAAGTAATGGCGGATAATTGCGAAGGGTTTCCGATATGAGTGCGTCAATGAATGGTAGTCTCGACAGCACTGAGTAATCCATTTCTCCCTTTTCATTGAACATGTCTTTGGTCTCCTCATAGAGTCTGTCCTGAAGTGTAGGATTGAGAGCCAACTCATACGTACAGTACGACAGAGTAGTGGCAGTTGTCTCGTAACCGGCGACGAAGAAGAGGAAACATTGCGCTAATATCTCGTCTTCAGTCAACTTCTTCTCCAATACATTACTGAAGGC